AATAATAAAATGAAAAAGGAAAAACTGTGGAGAAAGTAATAATAAGTAGTAAAAACAAACACAAACATGATCTCATCACATGGTCTTTAGACATCATGGCATGAACACAAGGAATTAATACAAATAATAAAACAAGGAAAAAAAGTAAGTATTTGAAAGTTTAAAAAAAACTAAGCAAGTATCTTCATGTGTTATTCCCATACATTTTGTCCTTCTGGTTTCTAAATGTTTTTTAAAAGTTCAAATGTGAAGCAATACATGACTCATGCGGACATTTACATCACAAAACATCTCTTCGTCTCCAACACGGTCTTTGTAGTAAAGCATCTTCATCATTGACATCTCTTTGTTGTGCACTCCAGTTATAATGCACAACGTGTAACAGTTTACTGAAAATAAATGTAGCAGTCAAAAAAACTAAAATGAAAAAAACAAATAACATAATCTCTTTCTTCAGGTGGACTATGACGTACATAATTTTCAGAATCATTGTTGTTACGCTAGTCATTACACCCAGAGAAAAACAACATCTTGAAAAAAGAAAAAAAAACAAAGCAATAAAGATTTAAAGAATTGTTCCTCTTTTGTCATCATTATCGTGCAAACTAGTCATTGTCCATGAGGTCTTATAGAAGATTGATGAAGGAAAACAAAACATTTGTAATGTTAAAAAGAACACGCCACACATAATCTTTTGAACTTCTCTGCAACTTCTTAACATCAACAGTTGTCAATAATAGTGATCGTCAAACCCCAGGATGCCACTAAAGATCACGGTGCAGTCAACTTTATCACATTACATTATTACATTACATTGCATTTAGCTGACGCTTTTGTCCAAAGCGACTTACAATAAGTACATTCGACCAGGAAGACACAACCTTGAAGAAAACAAAATCATATAAGTACATCAGGTTTCATAGAGCCAAACATTTCAAGTGCTACTCAACTGGCTTTAGATAAGCCAGTCCTTTATTAGTATAAAAGTGCTTCGTTAATAGTTCTAACGCTCGAAGTGGAGTCGAAAGAGATGAGTTTTCAGTTTGCGCCGGAAGATGTGCAAGCTATCTGCCGTCCTGATGTCAATGGGGAGCTCATTCCACCATCTTGGAGCCAGGACAGCAAACCCACGTGTTTTTGCCGATGGGAACTTGGGTCCCCCTCGCAGCGAGGGCGCAGCGAGTCGTTTGGCTGATGCAGAGCGTAGTGCACGCGCTGGGGTGTACGGTTTAACCATGTCCTGGATGTAGGAAGGGCCAGATCCATTCGCAGCATGGTAAGCAAGTACCAGTGTCTTGAAGTGGATTCTAGCAGTTACCGGAAGCCAGTGAAGGGAGCGGAGGAGCGGAGTGGTGTGGGAAAATTTAGGAAGGTTGAAGACCAGACGAGCCGCTGCATTCTGGATGAGCTGCAGAGGTCGGATGGCACATGCAGGTAGACCAGCCAGGAGGGAGTTGCAGTAGTCTAGGCGTGAGATGACGAGAGCCTGGACCAGAACCTGAGTCGCTTTCTGTGTCAGCTGGGGACGTATCTTCCTGATGTTGTAAAGCGTGTATCTGCAGCAACGGGTTGTAGCAGCGATGTTTTCAGTGAAGGACAGGTTGTTATCTAGGGTCACACCCAGATTCCTTGCAGTCTGAGTCGGGGAAACAACTGAGGTGCCGATGTTGATTGTTAGGTCAAGAGTGGGACAATCTTTTCCCGGGAGGTAGAGCAGCTCAGTCTTGTCAAGGTTGAGCTTGAGGTGGTGAGCAGACATCCACTGAGAGATGTCAGCTAGACAAGCAGAGATGCGTGCAACGACCTGGGTCTCTGAGCAGGGAAAGGACAGAATTAATTGGGTGTCATCAGCGTAGCAGTGGTAAGAAAAACCATGCGGGCTAATGACTGATCCGAGCGAGTTTGTGTACAGGGAGAAGAGGAGGGGACCAAGAACAGAGCCCTGAGGGACCCCTGTAGTTAATTGACAAGGGTCGGACTCAGACCCTCTCCAAGTCACCCTGTAGGTACGGTCTTTCAGGTATGAGGAGAGGAGGGAAAGAGCAGAGCCTGAAACTCCATGTTTTTGGAGAGTGCGAAGGAGGATCTGATGATTCACCGTGTCGAATGCAGCAGACAGGTCCAACAGGATGATGACAGAGGAGAAGGATGCAGTTTTGGCAGTGTGCAGTTCCTCCGTGACAGCAATGAGAGCAGTTTCTGTGGAGTGACCTGCCTTGAAACCAGACTGGTGCGGATCCAGAAGGTTGTTCTGATTGAGATAACAGGAGAGTTGTTTAAAGACAGCGCGTTCAAGTGATTTAGACAGGAACGGGAGGAGAGAGACAGGCCTGTAGTTTATAACATCAGACGGGTTGAGAGTGGGTTTCTTTAGGAGAGGGTTTACTCTTGCCTCCTTGAGACTGTTTGGAAAGTGACCAGAAGTTAGAGAGGTGTTGATGAAATGGGTGAGAAACGGTAGAATATCAGGAGCGATAGTCTGAAGGAGGTTTGAAGGGATAGGGTCCAGAGGACAGGTGGTAGGGCGGGCAGAAGTAATGAGGGTAAGAACCTCACTTGGAGAGAGAGGGGAAAAGGAGGTTAGTGTGTTGGTGGAAGGAGGGTCTGGTGACCCAGCGGTGAGTATAGGTGAGTCAGAAAAAGAAGAGCGAATATCATCAACCTTTTTTTCAAAGTGGGTAACAAAGTCGCTTGACAGAAGTGAGGAGGGGGGAGGGGCTTTTGGAGGGTCCAAGAGGGTGGAGAAGATGGAAAATAGTTTTTTAGGATTGGAATAGGAAGATTGGATCTTATCTTGAAAGAAAGTGCTTTTTGCCTGAGAGATCGAAGCAGAGAAAGAGGAGAGGAGAGCCTGATAGGTTAGGAGGTCGTCACGGTGTTTGGATTTCCACCATTTCTGCTCTGCTGCCCTAAGGACGGTTCTATTAGCACGCAGCGCATCATTTAGCCAGGGAGCAGGAGGGGACTGACGAGCCTGCCGAGATGTGAGAGGACAGAGAGAGTCCAGAGAGGATGAGAGAGTAGAGAGGAGAGTTTCTGCAGCAGAGTTTGGTGGCAGGAGTTGGAACGAGTCAGAGGAAGGGAGGGCTGAGAGCACCGACGAGGCAAAGGTAGAGGGGGAGAGGGAGCGAAGGTTACGGCGGACAAGTGCAGGATGAGAAGAGATTAGTTTGTTATGTTTGGAAAGGGGTAGAGAGAATGAAATGAAATGACACAACAGTGTCGATCTGTTTTGTATTTTTGCCCTGGCGTGTTCAGTTCCTGTTTCCTTCTGGTTGTCTCTCTCTTGTTAAAGAGATATTTGTCAGGATTGCAGGTTCGTCTTTAATGTTGAATGCATCCTTCAAGCCTTTCAGTGCTTGTTCCTGTGTGATGCTCCTCCATGCTTCTGGAACATCAGCTGTTTTGGCGTTGTATTCTAGGGCAAATCTCTCATTGTATTTAACCAGGACATACTTCCAGTAATCAGATGCCTCCCTGGTGTAGTCTTGAGGAATGAGCCAGTCTGGGTAGATTTAGGCAAACTCCTTGTAAGGATGCCACTCTCCATTAGTGTCTGCGCATTGGAATTTACACTCACTGTGAACATCAGTTGTGCACAGTGTTTCCATCAGCTTCTCAGTGCCTTCATACCTGCATCTACCGAGACCTTGTGGCCGATGAACAGCTGCATGATGGTTCTTGTGTTTTTTGCCTCCGGCTTCACAAGGAACTTTACAAAATGGACATTGTTGTCCACAACCAAACACCTGACTGAAAAGCTCATCCTGTGGTTTGGTAGGAAGTTTGTTCACAGTCTCTGTGATGTCTTCAGATGTTGAGAACTCCTCCTGCAGCTGTTCATTAATTTCTCTCAATGATTTGACGAGGCTCTCTTTAAATGGATGGCACGTGCTTTGGATTTGAAACAGGGTGGTTTTTTCAGCCTCTTCTGAAAGCGAGATATCTTTGTTCAAATACCTAAGCATGTTTTTGATGAGCTCTGTGATGCTTTCCTTGTTATCTGGCAGCAGGACACCATCCTCTCCTTTTGAGGCCCTTTCAGTTGCATCTGTTATTTTTTTAACTATGACTTTCAGATTCTGACTTTTCAGTTTGCATAAAGCTTTGTCCTCTGACATTTTTTGCAAGATATCCTGAAATATCAAATCCTTTACATACATTTCATATTTACTAATGAACTTGACAAAACTCTGAAAGTCTTCCTTTTGCAGCAACTCTTCCTGAATGTTGTACTGTAAACATTTTCGGGAACTGTACTCTGCTGAATGGCGGCCTGCCAAAACTTGATCCACAATGTTGGTTCCCAGATGTCTACTGATGTACTCTTCCACAGCAGGATTGATACAAAGTCTGACAAAATCATCTGCTTTGCGTTGGCAATGATTCACCTTTTTGTATAGATCGATAAAATCCAACAAGTACTGTGGCCTGTACTTTTCCAGCTGAATTTTGGGATCCCTTGCTGACAAGAAATGTCTGTGCATTTGAAGGAACTCTCTTGAGGCAATGCCACAAATGTGAAGCTTCAGGTCAATCTCAAATTTGGGATTGAAAGTCTAGGATTTAAGAGATTCATCTACTTTTTCCAAAATATCTTTTGTTAAAGAGTCATGGTAATCTGCGTCAGTCTTTGCAATATCACATACAGACCGTGTGATACACTCAATTAAGTAGTCTACATTTCTCTGCAATTCTCTCTTTTTATCTTTTGTTTTACTAAATATATCTCGGAAATACTTTTGACTTTGGAGATGTTCAGATTTGACCTCAAATGGGCCCTTGACTATGTCCTTTAGGACTTTAGTGTTCTGTAATTCCTCATTGAAGTTACGATTTGAGAAATGTATCCTCAATTGTTTAAGGACTTTTTCAGATATGTTTAGTTCTTTCAGGCCAGACACATTTGCTGTGACTTTTGTCCACATCTGTTGAAAGTCACATTTCAACTGTTCATCAGAAAGTGTGCATTGTTCGCGATCACTCAAGAGTTTCATTACTTATTTTTCAATAATTTCTCTCTGTTTGCTTTGAATGTCCTGAGCCTCTTTTGAACTTATTTTTTCTTCAAGCGCACAATCCAATGCATTGTTTACTGAATGTTGGAAATCGTCTTTAAGACTTCTGATACGGTTGATAAAGTCAATTTTGTATTTCTCTACAAGATTCACATGTATGTCTTTCCTTTTGTAGTAGTCATCAAGTTTCTCGTCCATTTCTGTTCGTCCACCCTCTATTTTGGCGATCAACTGTGTTTTTTTTGAGGCAACCAATGTCTTCCAAGTGTTCACATGTGTTTTGTTGTCATAATTTAAGATCTCTAACTTTGCCCCATCCTGCCAAAAGATCAAGTCTTTTTTGAATTTCCATTCCCATTGACTGAACTCCTTGCAAAGGTTGTCATAAGCCTGAGCCACAAGAGTGTTTCTGAAACCGAAGATGACGTTCTCATATTTGACTGCTTTCCAGAGACTTCTTACCCATTCTAGAAACTCTGGAATCTGTGAAACATCACCGGTTTTGTCTTTTTTCACTGTCTCCAAGAGGTTTTTCTTGAAATCTGCTACAGCTTCACTGTAACCTGTGTTCACTGATGCCATCGGTGGAGTCCCATGCCAGAGTCCGGGGATGTTCCAGTTGTTTTCTTTTATGTCATAGTCCAGCACATCTGTGAATCTCTTTATAGAGGGATTCTTTTCCATTTCTGCAGCAATTTCAGTCATTTCATTGAGTTGGTCCAAGAGATGCTGTCTCTCCGTCAAGGTCCTTGCATGAGCAGAGACTCCAGCAACATTCTGGTGCACAAAATGACAAATTGGCTTTTTACCAATTTTCTTCATTCTCAGGAATGCATGGATTCCAATTTGCAGGATATCTTTCATTTCTGTGGAGTTCTCTGATGCAACATTGATAATTGTGACATCACTTAAACCAATGACAAAGGTTGCCAGCTGGTTGTCATGCCAATAACTGTCTTCTAGTTGTGCCAACTGAGGAGCCTTGAGGCCCTCTGTGTCAATGAGAACTATGAAGTCACAGTTCAGCTGGTGTTGTATATCATCACTTACTCTGAGGAAGAGCATATACGCTACCCTTGTGCATCTGCCACTGCTGACTGCAAACTGCACACCGAACATGGTGTTGAGGAGTGTTGACTTCCCAGAACTTCGGAGACCCAACACGGTCAGTACCAACAGTCTGCTCTTCTCTCCAACCTTCCTGTGTTGCTCCATTAGTACATCTCTCACCCATTTCTCTGGGATGTTGGAAGCATCTCCATCCAAGAGCTCTAAAGGATATCCATCCAACAGCAGTTCAGCTGCCAAACCAGGGAGACGATGTACTTCATCAGCAGAGTTTTGTGACTGCAATGAAAACTCATAGATCAGTCCCATCTCTCTCATGTAATGCTCTATCCCTAAAGAGCTTTCCAGCAACTCCTGATCCAGCTTTGCAATCTCTTTCACATCTTTGTCCTTTTTTTTGCTTTGTTCTGTCCACTGATGGCGGAGTGAAGATAGCTGATCCCGGGAATGTGCATCCAGTTTGAGTTTCATCCACTTAAGGAAAAAATCTCTGTTCTTGCTGTCATTTTTAGGTAACTGTTTAATGAAAGTGTTCATATCATCTGATAGTTTTTGTTTGCCAAGCTTCTCCTTGATTTGTTGTTTTTCTCTCTGCAGCTGAGATTTATATTGTTCTGGTTCTAGGTTACCATGTGTTTTCAACCTACATTCCTCTTTCTCTAACTGCGATAACCTTTTCCAGTCAGCGCCTTGCAGAGGAAGTTGTTTTCTCTTGTAATCTGGTATCTTCCTCACCCCAATTCCTTTGACAATCTTCTCAGCGGTTTCCTTTTGGTCATCACTTGTGCATTCGTCCACAGACAGACCAAGATCAACAGCTTTGTCAACCATATTTTCAATGCTCATGGTGGGTTTTCCAACTGTTATCTTGTTAATGGCTGCAGAAAGTTTCTCTGAGAACCCTACAACATTTACTCTTGGGTCTTTAACTTTCACACTGCTGTTTGGCAAATCTAATTATTTCACTGTTTTCTTGACAGATTCCATGTCCTCTTTTGAACTTCCATCCTTGCGGTTAACAACCAAGAACAGTTTGGATTTCACATCTTGAAGAGAAGTCAGAATCTCATGCTCCTCTTTTTCAATTTTGTCCAGGAATACAAAGGTAGCAGTTGACACTTGAAACAGAAAAGTGAACTGAGCAAGTGACTCAGAAATGTTTCCTCTCAGATTGGCAAATGCAATTGGGTCTGGAAATACATCAGGATGTTCTCTGCCTCTGGGAAGGTACCAGTACACCTCAGCCAAGCCATTGGAAATGTGTCTTTCAATTGCTCCTCCTTTCATTTCTCTGTGTATAAATATATTGTGATTCTGCTGGCCAAGGATGAGAACTTGATTCAACATCTGGGACTTGGACAAACCACAGTTCTGGAGCCTCACAAAGGAATATAATGGTATCTTTGCTTGGACAATGTGGTTTTCAACAAAGTCTCTTGATTCAGACAGGTGTGGACACCACTCTTTGACAATGTCCCTCAGAGCCCAAAGCATCAGGGTACTCTGACTGTTATTGACATGGGGCATCAGCAGTGGGACAGAAAACTGGCACATTGTCATCTTGAGGGCCATTTCCTGTTGCAAGAAGCTGTCAGCACAAAGGAAGAGTGCTGTTACGAGGTCGAGAGGGTTAACCTCATTGTCTGCAGATTCATCAGCAGTGTAAAGGTCAAGTTCAAGGGGATCACTGCTTTCTTCATTATCTTCACTGTTTGATACTTGTGTACAGCCCCTGCATTCTGCATTGAGTTTAAATAGTTTTCTGAGAAAGCACCAAGGTATTTTCTGTACTGATGAGGCAGCTTCTTCATTTATGCTGTTTTTGTTGATCTCCAATAGAGACCGAAGAGTGAGCTTGTTGGGATAAAATGTCTCCAGTCCCAGTTTGGAGAGAAAGGTGATTAGGACTGTTAAAGAGAAAGAGAAGGTCATATTTAGATATTAGGCAGCCCTTAATGGATCGTATATGGATGTTTCCTCGAGGTCTGACGTGCTGAAGGCATTTCCTTTCTCGTTTAACATATAGCCACATTTTTTCCTTATTTTAAATGTGTGGATTATTGTATATCCAAGTTTGCAAGCTTGCAGAATTGCTTATTTTGTTGGATTACACAGTTTTGGCACATCACCAAGATCTGTGAATCATTTTAATCCCATTAATTTTGTAGTTTCATTACATTACATTACATTGCATTTAGCTGATGCTTTTATCCAAAGCGACTTACAATAAGTACATTCGACCAGGAAGACACAACCTTGAAGAAAACAGAATCATATAAGTACATCAGGTTTCATAGAGCCAAAACATTTCAAGTGCTACTCAATTGGCTTTAGATAAGCCAGTCCTTTATTAGTATATAAGTGCTTTGTTAATAGTTCTATCGCTCGAAGTGGAGTCGAAAGAGATGAGTTTTCAGTCTGCGCCGGAAGATGTGCAAGCTATCTGCTGTCCTGATGTCAATGGGGAGCTCATTCCACCATCTTGGGGCCAGGATAGCAAACCCACGTGTTTTTGCCGATGGGAACTTGGGTGCCCCTCGCAGCGAGGGCGCAGCGAGTCGTTTGGCTGATGCAGAGCGTAGTGCACGCGCTGGGGTGTACGGTTTAACCATGTCCTGGATGTACGAAGGGCCAGATCCATTCGCAGCATGGTAAGCAATTACCAGTGTCTTGAAGTGGATTCTAACAGTTACCGGAAGCCAGTGAAGGGAGCGGAGGAACGGAGTGGTGTGGGAAAATTTAGGAAGGTTGAAGACCAGACGAGCCGCTGCATTCTGGATGAGCTGCAGAGGTCGGATGGCACATGCAGGTAGACCAGCCAGGAGGGAGTTGCAGTAGTCTAGGCGTGAGATGACGAGAGCCTGGACCAGAACCTGCGTCGCTTTCTGTGTCAGCTGGGGACGTATCTTCCTGATGTTGTAAAGCGTGTATCTGCAGCAACGGGTTGTAGCAGCTATGTTTGCAGTGAAGGACAAGTTGTTAGCTAGGGTCACACCCAGATTCCTTGCAGTCTGAGTCGGGGAAACAGCTGAGGTACCGATGTTGATTGTTAGGTCAAGAGTGGGACAATCTTTTCCCGGAATGAAGAGCAGCTCAGTCTTGTCAAGGTTGAGCTTGAGGTGATGAGCAGACATCCACTGAGAGATGTCAGCTAGACAAGCAGAGATGCGTGCGACGACCTGGGTCTCTGAGCGGGGAAAGGACAGAATTAATTGGGTGTCGTCAGCGTAGCAGTGGTATGAAAAACCATGCGGGCTAATGACTGATCCGAGCGAGTTTGTGTACAGGGAGAAGAGGAGGGGACCAAGAACAGAGCCCTGAGGGACCCCTGTAGTTAATTGACAAGGGTCGGACTCAGACCCTCTCCAAGTCACCCTGTAGGTACGGTCTTTCAGATATGAGGTGAGGAGGAAAAGTGCAGAGCCTGAAACTCCAAGTTTTTGGAGAGTGCGAAGGAGGATCTGATGATTCACCGTGTCGAATGCAGCAGACAGGTCCAACAGGATGATGACAGAGGAGAGGGATGCAGTTTTGGCAGTGTGCAGTTCCTCCGTGACAGCAATGAGAGCAGTTTCTGTGGAGTGACCTGCCTTGAAACCAGACTGGTGCGGATCCAGAAGGTTATTCTGATGGAGATAACAGGAGAGTTGTTTAAAGACAGCGCGTTCAAGTGATTTAGACAGGAACGGGAGGAGAGAGACAGGCCTGTAGTTTATAACATCAGACGGGTTGAGAGTAGGTTTCTTTAGGAGAGGGTTTACTCTTGCCTCCTTGAGACTGTTTGGAAAGTGACCAGAAGTTAGAGAAGTGTTGATGAAATGGGTGAGAAACGGTAGAATATCAGGAGCGATAGTCTGAAGGAGGTTTGAAGGGATAGGGTCCAGAGGACAGGTGGTAGGGCGGGCAGAGGTAATGAGGGTAAGAACCTCACTTGGAGAGAGAGGGGAAAAGGAGGTTAGTGTGTTGGTGGAAGGAGGGTCTGGTGACCCAGCGGTGAGTAAAGGGGAGTCAGAAAAAGAAGAGTGAATATCATCAACCTTTTTTTCAAAGTGGGTAACAAAGTCGCTTGACAGAAGTGAGGAGGGGGGAGGGGCTTTTGGAGGGTCCAAGAGGGTGGAGAAGATGGAAAATAGTTTTTTCGGATTGGAATAGGAAGATTGGATCTTATCTTGAAAGAAAGTGCTTTTTGCCTGATAGATCGAAGCAGAGAAAGAGGAGAGGAGAGCCTGATAGGTTAGGAGGTCGTCACGGTGTTTGGATTTCCACCGTTTCCGCTCTGCTGCCCTAAGGACGGTTCTATTAGCACGCAGTGCATCATTTAGCCAGGGAGCAGGAGGGGACTGACGAGCCTGCCGAGATGTGAGAGGACAGAGAGAGTCCAGAGTGGATGAGAGAGTAGAGAGGAGAGTTTCTGCAGCAGAGTTTGAAGGCAGGAGTTGGAACGAGTCAGAGGAAGGGAGGGCTGAGAGCACCGACGAGGCAAAGGTAGAGGGGGAGAGGGAACAAAGGTTACGGCGGACAAGTGCAGGATGAGAAGAGATTAGTTTGTTATGTTTGGAAAGGGGTAGAGAAAATAAAATGAAGAAGTGATCGGATGTCTGGAGCGGGTTTACAGAGAGGTTAGAAGTAGCGCAGTTCCTTGAGAATATGAGATCAAAGACATTGCCAGCTTTATGAGTCGGTGGGGACGGAGACAGTGAGAAAGCAAAGGCGGTTAACAGGGATGTTAGTTCGTCTATTTCACAATTCTAAGAGATCAAAGATGTATTTAGTTATTTGTGTGGTAATTTTTACAATTTATATAAATCTTAATACATCCTTTAACAATTTAATTTGCATGTCTACATATACACAGAACAAAGTTGAGGGAATGGGGGAGTTTACCTGCATGTTCTTCACCTGTGTTTGTAGACATGGTCTGACTTTTCCTTCAACTCGTCTGTGCTCTGAAACCTAAAACGTGAAAAATACTACTTTTAACCACTTTTGAGTACTTTTATTTTCAAAGGCGTAACACATTGTGTTATTCATGCAGATCAGTTGCAGACAATCAAAAACCAAACATCTCACATGAAGTATTCCTTGTCATCCATTGCCGTTATTTTCAGTGCAAATCATCAGACCAACTCTAGGTAAGTTATTCCAATATGTTGTATTTGGAACAATTACAAAGAACAAACTGCTGTTTGAATGAAGCAAAACCATTGCGTTTTTTTAAAACCGCTGCACTAACTGCCAATATTAGTCACAAGTTTGCTTAGAGAAATATTACTAAGATGTCTAATGTGATCAAAGAGGTGTGTCTGTTGTGCACCGACAGAAATGCTAGAGAGGTTCATGTTGTTTATGTGTGCTTTCTCTCATTCCAGGCTTCTTGATTGTTTGCACCTGTCATCCATCCTGTGTCTCCTGTGCTCATCAGTGTCAGCCCCGCCCCTGATTGGTCCCAACTGTGTCTTGTCACCCTGTGCTTAAATTCCCCTGTCTCCCAGTGTTCAGTGTCAGTTCGTATTGTCTTATGCTATGGTCAGGTCGATGTTTCTTGTGCTCGTGAAAAGTTTCATTCCTCACTACGTGAGCGCTTTCATTTTTTGTTCGCTGTTTTTGTCATCACGGCTAGAGATTGATAGTTACCCTTTTTGTTGTTCACTGCTGTATTGGAAAATAAAGTATCTTACAAATACTTTACCTCTGTCTCCCGGGTCGTGCAATTGGGTCCTACATCCTAAGTGTCTGAGTTCGTAACAGTGTCCTACTGTCTAGTGTAGCAAAATAATTCTGATTTAGTCCGATTGAAGCACATCAATTAAAAAGTACAAAAAGTAAGTACTTCTTTATAACACTGATAAAGTCTCAGTGTGTCGGCGGTCAAGCTTTTGTTGGTCAAAGATCTTACAATGTTTATTTTCTAAGAACCAACAATGTGCATGCGTTCCATTGTCCAGCAGTGGAGCTTTTATCTATACATCAAGGTGTTAAACCACAACTCCCTGCTCAAAAACGACAGTCAGAAAGCACAATTTGGTTTCCTGTGTGCACAAAGTGTAAGCAGAGTTTAACAGTTCACCAAGTTCAAAGTTTCAATAGTTTCAAGGTGGTTCTTTCAATCTTATAATATAATATAATTCAATAATTAATTGAAACAAACAAAAAAACTTAAAGGGGCAGATGTCAATGAAGTTTATCACAGCCATTAAGAAAGATGCTGCAGTGATTTGGAGTCATAACGATTTTATACAAGAAAAAAGGGTTTTCAATATAGAAACTAGTGACCTTTGAAGTACTGCATGGTGTTGAGAGCTACATAGTTGGGTGATGTACTTAAAACAAAAGTTAATTATAATCAAGTATAATCAATTATATTCTTGTATAACTCACAATGAAAATGTTTCATCTGTTATGTTTTTATATTTGCAGTAAAAAACAAAGTGGTTTGTTTAAGTTGAGTGTGTAAGGTCTGTGATTTATGGGCGTCACTGATAAGGAGGAGGGCAGTTTCCCCTCCCTTTTTTTCTCACAGCAGAAACACAAGGGGGGGGGGGGGGGGTCTCCTGCCTTAAGGAGAAACACGCTAAGGCTTTTAATGGGTGATTATGTCATAGCCGAGGATAATATTTTGCAAAATACATACATCAGAGGCCAGGCCCAGTTTTACAAATATGGGCGTAAAGGAGGTGTTTTTGGGGGTTTTCTATCCGGTTGTAGGGGCATAAAAGCCACGGGATAAGAGAGGATGAGAGGGCTGGGTAAATGGCTCTCGGTAAGGTTATCCTGGAAGGCGTTAATAGGACGTACGGGAATCTTAGAACTAATAGCTTTATTTAGATCTATCCTGGAAGGCGTTATTAGTACGTACAGGAATCTTAGAACTAATAGCTTTATTTATTTACTTGCAAAACAATGACTTGAGACTTGACTCGGACTTGAGCGCA